GCTCGCGATCGCGTGAACGCGCTCGCGCGCGCGCGCGCCTGCACGCGGTCAGGGTGTGCACGCATCGGTGTGATCGTCGAGGAAAATCACGGGACACGATGTCAACGACCCGTGTTTGCGACGATCTTCATCGTTTCCGACCTCGTCCCCGTCGTCACCTCGCGATGGTGGTGCATACCACCCGGCCTCGTTATCCCGCTTCTTTTCCTTTTCCGTCGCGAATCGCTGGCGCGCGATTTAATTACCGGCACGGACGGATGTTTTTTTAATACCGGCCGAGGTGTAACGAGTGAACCATTATTTTGCTCGGCGAGTCGTGTTCGGTCGTCCCGACGTCGCCGTCGGGTGAAACTGCGACGGTCTTCATTTCGTCGGGGCAAGAATTGTTCCTGGAGAACGATCGTCTCGCGTTTTTCGTCCTTCCACGCGAGACTTTGAAAATCTAGGCGATAAGAGGATGGTAAGGCGTGTCGCTCGGTTGCGTTGCACGATGTGAATAGTTTGAATGAATATTTTGGGCGAGCTCTTCTTGCGTCGGCTATCGTTTTCTTGTTCGAGGGATGATAGCAACCCTTAAGGTTTAGATCGATATAACCGTATTGACGAATCTTTGAGGTATGAGACGTGGATGGGAAGTTTGTTCGTCGAACGAGTACATCGAAAATGCGTCATCGGAGCGATGCAGCGAGTCTTGCAAAACTGTGGGAGATATTCCTGGCACGATAGGAAGTGCACCGTTTGTGCGAGGGATATAATGAAATATATAGAACCATCGAATTGAGCCACGTTATATTTCGCGCGTTTATCTTGCCAAGCCCCACTAATCTACATTACAAGCATTGTTTGCATCGATAAGTTCACAAATACCAGCTTCCTCGCGTCGAATGACGTTGCTTCTTTCTTAATTACATTTGTTTCTCACACTCGCGAGCAATATCATCGATTTCGTATCGAAATTTCGCGTTCCGGGAAATTTGAATCGAACCGTTCCACAAATCGTTAAGCTCTAACTCGATTAAATTCTCCTGCGAATACGAACGTGATCCAATTCTAAGGATTAAGAAATTAGAAACGAGGCACCGACTGAACAATGAACTAATCGTATACAAGAAAATACCGAATATAATCGAACTTACGTATGTCACGATCTAATAGTCTCGAGCGCGAAATCGCAAAACCTCGAGCGTGGCGCGCGAAAACCGCAATTTATTCCCGAACCGGCCAATAGAAAAACCGAGGGAGAGATCGACGGAGGTGACGGCGTATTGTCCGCTCCATTTGTCGATCGCGGCGCCTCGTTAATCGTCCACGAGAGATAAACCCGCCGCTTTTTACTACGGCCGCGGAGGGACCGTCGATCGTCGATCGGACTTTGTACGGTTCGATGTCTCTCGGCCGCCTCGATACACCCGACGGAAAAACGAAAATCACGAGTGTCCGACTAAAAACCGCCTCGCCTCGTTGTTTAACTCGGTTTTCCTCCCCCGGCGTTAAGACAAGGGAAGTCGCGAGTTCAGAGCAAAAATCGCCGCCATTTCTTTATTATCGATCGTTTTCCGACTTCGCGATTGAAAGTATCCTTTCCGAGTTCCTGGTATAGTTTCTCGACGCGTGTTCTCTGTCGCGTTGAGATTTGACCAGGAAAAATTTATGAAAATTTATTAAATTGTCTCAAATCGAACGTTGAACCTCTCGAACGTCGAGACGCGAAAGAATGTTCAGATCAGTGAATTAATCGAGCTTCTTCAATTTTGAAAGATGAAAGGAAGTGCAAATTCGTCGAACGAGTTGAGCTCTCTGAATTCTGAGACACGAGAGACAAGTTTCAAATTCGCCGAACACTTCGAAAAACGATATCTGCGAGCTCTCTCCTGATGACCCACGGCTCCGTTTGTCTTCGTCGCGGCAACGCGAACGTGCCGGCTGTCTTTATCCTTGAACTCCAACCCGAGACATGTCATTGTCCGAATTTACTTATTTTCTCTCCTGTTCCTCTGTGTCGTAGATAATATGTTTTTCTGGATATATTTTTATTGTGCGTCTTCTATTTATCCTCCGCTGACGTCTTCGCCCCGTAGATAGTAATAGTAACAGGAGAGCATGACAGGATGGTTGTCCAATACAAAATCTTGGAGAAATTTTAACCTTTGTATAACTTCGATAATTTCACTTCAATTTAAATATGCTTGCAGCCGTATGAATGGAAGTTGATAGTTAAAACCCTATCTGAGCTAACGAACAGTTATCTCGATTCAACTGACATATGGTCTACTTGCGTTCTGATAATTAACACGAGTGCCGCACGATTTTGCTAAGAAAAATACACAAAATGAAAATAATGTGACATCAACGTCTACAATTGAATTACGTTATTATTATTGCAGGTTTATCTTGTCGAATGTCACTGTATTAGGTGGCATTACTTGTAATATAGAACAGTTTTCAAATGATCATCGTTTAATCGAACGAAGTATAGTAATTGAATTTTGTTGAGCTCACCGGTGACCCCTATGGCGTCCAACGTGTTAAATACTAACAACAAATCACTTTTCGCTACCAATTCCTGTATCATTGAAAATTGTTTTCACCGTTCCCCGAGCTGCCGTACACGTGCATCCGATAAGGAAGATTTACCAACGCGAGTTACATAAAGAATGTCATGTTGCAGGTAACAATGCAGGAGGTAGATCGTCATCGGTGACAGGATCGGTTCAAAGGAGCACCGTCACGTCGAGTAACCGCGCGCACTCCGCCAGCCGAAGGATCAGCCATCAGCAGCGTCAGCAGCAGCAGCAACAACAGCCGCAGACCAGAAAGCCCTTGGGATCCTTACGGAACTCGGATGACCACGTGCCAAGAGCCAGCTCGGCACAGGACGTTTGCGATAACTCGAACGATTCCGGGCTTGGCTTCGAGGAACGTCAGCAACATCTCAGCACCGCAAACGTTCGTACCACGATTTCGTTCGATCTAATCGCGCAGCAGAATCTTCCCTCGTCCAATCAAAAATATCTTCTTCCCATTCCGGTTCTTTCGTCGATTCCTCTGTCATCTCGCCGGTGACTTAAATAAAAAGAGAATAACAATATTCGTTAAACTAAGCTTCTCCTCTTCTCGGTAGACTCTCGATCTTCCAATATGCCTGCATGTCAAAATTAATGTTGCGCATGATTTATATATAAACACCGATTATTATCGGCAACTTATTTGTCATTAATTCACTCGTTATCTTGCTAGTAACTCGATAAAAAACAGCAACTTTAGATTCCGCTCTTTATCGAGAAATTTCATTCGATCTCCCTATATTTCTGCACCCCGAACTGAACTTCTCGCATGATTTATATACTGAAACCGATTATCATCGGTACGATGACTCGCGCATGCATCGCGCGAGCGTTATCGACCTCCGTCGCCGTGAAATTGCACCGCCTTCTCCGCGTTATCTCAGTTTGTCTTCGTTCCGATCGAATCGCGGGCTCGGATACCCGGCGAGATCGACGGCGAAGCGCAATTCCGCGTTAATCTGTGTCTCAATATTATTTTTTCCCTCGCTTGAAAACAAGCAGGCTAGCCAGTCAACGTCCTGGTAAAAGAAACATCGTTGAAATCGGTTTTTATCGTGCCGCGTGAACGCGCCGCAGAAGCTTTGATTGATATCTGCACGTGTACCGATAATTTGTCCGCCGCAGACCCGTTCCCGTAACACTTCGCTACGCGAATAAATCACCGGCGCATGTATACGTGCGGATACATTATGCAGCATTGCACAGTAACAATCGATTCTCGACGGCTGTATATTGACGGTAATTGGGGAGCTATTTAAGTAACTTGGTATTGACCCAAAGCGTTCTGGCATCTTTTGTCACTGTCCATTGGCTCGAGCTCTCAGCGGCGAATGTTAGTGAATGTTAGACTCGTGTTACGGAATTGTCGATTGATCTCTCAATTGTGACTCTCAAGTACGTCCTCCGGGAATGTGTTCGCCTCCTCCTCGACCGCGTTTTCATTCACTTTCGATCGTTCATGTAAAGTTCACAATTCCCTTTCTTCTCGTCGTCGTCTGTTCGTAGCATTCTCCTTTAGCCTGCGATTAACAGTGTAACCTTAATTCCAAAATTCCCTTTCACCAAAGCATTCAATGAAATCTACCTTTCCACCTCTAACCTCCTAACCATCTTCATCCCTGAGACGATTACCAGAACAAAAACCCCAAATGGAAACACTTGAAACCATTTTCAAGCACAATCTATGAACTGCATCTACGTTGCATCTCTACGAAAAACAAGATTCAAGCCTACTCGTCGTTTCCCAGCTCCGCCTCGTTATTTCCACGAACCCCGAGACCTCTCAGAAGATCCATTCCATCCCCGAGCTAGAGATAGATCTTTCCTCTGGAGTAGAGGAACGGGGTCGAGCCCTCGCCAAAAACATTTCCCAAGAGGGAAATTCTCGAAGCCCCAGAAGCTTCCATCCCCTTCCCGCGCCCCCGCCGCCCGGTTACGCCATTGTCCCGTGCATGTGCAAGTGCGTGTCTAATGCGATCACACGCGTCGCGCCGCTGTCGATTCGCCTGTCTTCGTCGTTGTCGTCGTCGACGCACCGACCGACCGACCGGTCTCTAACGGTGGTTGAACTCGGCCGACGGGTGTTCCGATTCGTTAAATTAAGTGCGGCAACGTCTATCGCGCGCGTACACACCAGCCAATCATGTCCGTTGCTTAACAGGCTTGGAACGGCGCCGGCGAGGAGGACTCGAAGAGGAGGAAGATGGACATCAAGCTCGAGTCCGAGGATGCTAACTTCTCGTTCCCCGAGGTGGCGCACACCACCAGCCCGGACACCAAGACTGGGACCAGGAGCACAGTGAACGGCGGCATCGGGGGACTAACCGCGATCTCGAGTAGCAGGAACGGGACCGGCGCCACCGGCAGGGTGGTCGACGTGCCCAGAACACGACCAGGGATGGGCGTCCTCGCGAAGAGGCCACCCCCTGCTCACCAAGGTCCAATCACCCTCACCTCTCAGTTGTGTACGTGTTTGTATCCGAATGATGTAGTTAAACGTTCGTTCTTCCTGTTCTCTCATGTCGATTATTGGGCCTGGTTGGGTCTAGCATGTTCAATCGCAAATGAGGATCTTTAAACTTCGATTTTCGTAGGTTGCCTTGGGAATGATTGAGTAGCTTCGTCTGCTGATTGGAAGATTCTTGGATGATTGATATTATTTAGTTAGTGTATGGAAGAAATGAAGGTTTGCTTTTTAACACTAGAACTACCGAATGGGTGGAAACGACCCAGTCGTGAATTATTCTTTTACAATTATTGAAAAGACAGCGAATGCTTCTTTGCGAAATTACCGAGGAAATTGACTTAGTAACGCGCGAATTAAATCATAAGTCAATTGAAATCTCAGTGGCTCTAGTCTTCGTTGGAGTCTATAGAAAAATTTCGAAACTTCAATTTGACTGCTCGGTAGTTCTAGTGTTAATATTGTGAAACTGGAGGATAGAATTAGGTGAAGCCGGTAAATGGGTCGCTCGGAAGTCAATGCGTTTAAGTTGGTTCCTTGGTATTTGATGATTGTTGTAAATTGTGATGGTATAAATAATATGCTTTGTAGTTATTAAAGGATTCGCTCGATTCCTCGTTCTGTCTGTGTCAGGAAGTCCTTCTTTTCATAAATTTTGAATATGTTGTATAATCATTACAGAAGCCGGAACATGAATTTTCTCAATTTTTCGTTTTCTGGACTTAACCGCCATTGTCTTCTGAACGACTCTAATGTAAAGAATAGATACTTGAAGCGAAAAACTGTCGTTTATGATAAAGGAGATGCGCTGAGCCAGCGGTTAGCGACCACTGTGTCATTTTATTTACATTTCGTTCCGGTTGGTCTGTTAAAATCGAGTGCAACGTCATTTTTCCTGTAAGAGATATTGCTGCGTCGTTAGATACCGGTACCGAGGAATTTGCGTGGAGATTCGCTTGTTTGCATCCGGATCGAGACAGATTTTAACTGACTGCTCTCAGGATCATGCGGACTGATAACCTTCGGCTCACGCGACTTCTCGGGCTATGTTTTCACATGTATTCTCTGCCGGCGAGAGATAAATACGTTTCCGGCGAAACTTTTCACCTCGACGTCGCTTCTGCGCCGTGATGTTGCGTTAACGTTCTTCAAGGACTGTTCTCGTCCTTCGGGATGCTTTTCTTGATATCAATCGTGACGTTTGATCTATGTCGTTTCTTCGATTCATTCACAACTGATGATCGAATTAACCTGACCTAA